TGGTGCTTTAAAATCGCGGACATATCAGTGTCACCTATTAGTGTTGAACTGTGCTTTTAAAGCTAACATACCATTATAAGATCATGAATGAAAGGTGTTTTACAATTTAACACATTAGTAAAAAAATCTCAAAAATAAAATTTGCTAAGTTGACATATCAACATTTACTTACTAAGATGGAATGGTACTTTAAAAATTGATATACAAATATCAACTGTGTAGACTGAATTTTAAAAGTTGTCATAAAAGTGTCAGCTAAGCTGACTGAATTGCGCTTTAAAAGTTGCCATAGAAATATTAACTATGCAGTCTGAATTATGGTTTAAAAGTTGACATACTATTTATATTGTAAATTATAGAGGCTGGACTGTGCTTTAAAAACTGGTACGAGAGTTTTAAATGATTAGGAATATCATACTTTGAAAACTATCACACAAGTTTTATGTTTTTTCGAAGCATTTTGATATGAGGATGAGCTTAGTAAGGTTGGACAAATATTTTAATTGCTACGAGATCATCACTGTGGAAATACAATTCATTAACTTTCTCGCATGTGTTAATGTAAAAATAAAATAAATAATCTCTGCCACCTCAGGACTCTGAAGCTAAATCACACTACGTCTATTTGAAATATAAGTCGTTTGAGTACTTGTAGAGCTGGATTTCTTAAGGCATGCTCTTGGCTTGGTTCATGATGTCTTGGTAAAAACGTCACGGGAAGTAATTACAAACTTGAAATTATCCTTGGGATATAAACACTAGGAAAGAAGAGCTATTACTGGGTAAAAAGGTACTTGACAGGAAGAACATCACATGTTATGCATGACACTCAAGCCAGAAAAGTCGCTCTAGTATGAAACATGAACATCAAAGATATATATATATACATATATGTATGTATACATAGTTCTCATTAGGGATGGAACAAATAGCAGATATGGTTGGATGTCGGGTTTCGTATATCCGGTTCCTGATACCATTGCTTATTTAAAGTATGTACAGAATTCAATGTAAAAATAAACCTGAACGGGTATAAAAAAAAAGAGAGATATATTAATCTGGATTAAATGAGATATAATGTTTTGAATCTATGAGGTGAATCTATCTGTGATTTCAGTATTCATATAAGTTTGTTAAACCATCGCTACAAAAACTACTAAGTTTCTTTTATGTTTAGTAATGGCTGGAGACGGCTTGAATGGGTCTCCAGCCATTACTAGTCTCAAAGGGGGTTCCTCGTCATCGAATTATTTTATGTTTATTCAGAGCTAGCAATATTTCTTTCCATTTTAATATAAAATGTTATTTTAATGGATTATCTTAGCATTAAGAATTTATTTTTTTAATATGTTTGTTATCTTTTCCTCATAAAAACGCTCTAGTGTTTTCTCTGGAAGGTCCCCCGCTGGGACAGCTGCAAGTCTCCGGATTTACAACTCCAAAATCAAGGTTTTAATTCCACTCGGTGGACATTGCAGATAGCTCGATGTGGCTTTGCTTTAAGAAAAACACATACTCTCTGGAAGCTGAATTATATAGAAATTTAGTAACACAACCATGTTTATCTGTTTTAAAATTCGAAGAAAATTGAAACTTGTAGATAGTTTGTTTATCGTTATTTGTGTATATCACAGTTCTTTCTAACACTAAACTGGAACACTGTAATAGTCCTAACCGTTTAGTGTTTTTTTCTTTACCAAAGCCACTTTATAATATGACATTACGTACACTGTAACAGATTAAAATTAGGTTATTAGCACACGTTTTATTTGCAAGAGAACTTTCTATATATAAAAAAGAGAAAACGTATAGCAAAAAGAAAAAAAAACACCGTACGTTTACAATTTAACTCGATGAATGACTTGTAAATTGAAATATGTTAAATTTATTTCTCATTTAATGAACAAAACTGCAAAAAAAGATTGCAATTCTTTGCCAGGGTGATTTACAAGCCACTGAAATGTTATTAGACGGCCTCAGGGTACGTTTATTTTCTATTGAAGTGTTATACGACAGCCTCAAAAAAAACATTTATCTATTATTAAAGTGCTTTAAGATTGCCTCAAAAATACTGTAAGCCTGCCTCGGCACCCCCCCTCACCCAAATCTTAAAATAGTAATTACCATATTTCCACAAAAATAACACTTACTAACACACTCGATAAAAAATCATTTCTACTCACGCGATAATCACTGGGCCGGTATCTTTCGTTAAATCATGTACAATATGTGTGTACTGCACTTAGCAACCAATCAGCGCACGCACAGCCCATGTGTACCTGACTAAGAAGTGATTTTTTTTTGTTGCAGTTTTTAAACATTCATCCATTACTAAGTGATGTCTTTTTGGATCTTTTTCATTAAAAACATTTTTTCTATTCAAATGAGCAAATTAATAAAACAGACGAATGTCACAGTTGTGATGAAAAAAAAAATTCCGTGAAGTGTGTGGGGGGGGGGGGGCTTGAGCTGCTTGGAGCCCTAAGTAATTGCTTAGTCTGTTTATACTTAGCGCCATCATTCTACCTATAAGAGAGACTTCGAGATTTTATATGTACCGGATTTACTTAGCAGACATTACCGAAGGTGACGGCAAACAAGCCTTTCCATGTAATGGCTCAAGAGGAAACTATGTATTTACAAAATGAAACTTATTCAAAAGTAAATTCAAATACTGACCAATCAAATATATGTTATCATGACAAGTATATTTGATTCAGACAGTGCAGGTTATTAGAATGCGTATTGATAATTTGCTTTATATAAAATTGAAAAACACATCAGTTATAAAATGTTAATTCAAAGTACGGTTGTTTAAAATGTGAAAGTTTTTTTTTTCCTGTGATAAGAGGAAAATGTATGATGAAACCACATAGATGTACGTGAGTGCGCCTAAGTGAAGGTGTGTCTGTCTCCAGCGGAGGTGTGTTTCGTTTTGATTTGCTGGTAGCTATGACGTCATAGACATGTGTGACACATTATATCTGTATAAGCAGATTGTGCCGTAAGTCGTACATTCATTGTAAACGTTACACGTATATATGACACTTTGTTTTTCACAACTTACTAGATATTGATTAAGAGCTTCTGAGTGCAAATAGAAGAAGAGAACAATGCCTTATATTAGAAGATCTGTAAGTAATAGAATCTAGGATGCTTTGTTCGTTTTAATTCTATTTCTTCCTTAGAGTGTGCTCTGATAAATATGCTGCAATCTATATTCCCCGCTTTTATCATTTCAAACTCAGAGGTGGCCAATTAAAAATTTCTTAGACTTAGAGCAATCTGTATAATTCCAGGATCACGGATTTGGCATGAGGTATTGATGCTGCCCAAATTAGATCCTATTTTTTCTCGAAATGCCTACCCCTGATGTTGGAGCATTAATTTTAGTTTTATAATACTGAAATATCCATACTTACAACTGAGCGTCTGGATATATATATATATATAGAATAAACAGACCGATGTTGCTGTTTAAGGAGCTTATTAGGCATTATCTTCTGTACGGTAGTCTTGTGTTCTGTGTTAATCTAAAACCAGTTAGTTTAGCTCAGCAAAAAATAAAAAATAAACGGTAAAAGCAATTCTTGGAATAATGAAGTAGATGAGCAGCCTTAGGCTGTCAAATCGTAACATAAAATATTTACATTTACTAATACTTTGTCTTCAATAACAGATACCATGTCTTCTACAACGTCAATGGTAATATTTGAAGTGTAAAATTATGTGTACATACGCTATGTTTCTTTGAGTGCTTAATTATGTTTATTTTTATATACGTCCACTTAGTGTTTGTGTATTTCTGTGTTAATCTGGGTATTGTCACCACTAGTTGAAGTTTCATTAATAGGTCTACAAGAACTTAGGTAAGCACCTAAAGAATATAAAGTTACTTATTAAGTAAGAGTGGTTAATTCGATTTTTAAGTATTCGCCTGAATTGTTTCAATACTATGCATTCTCAGAGAAGTTAATGTTACCTGAATTAATGCACATTTCAAGAGCCAGAGCATCCTGTAAAACATGGCGTTTCAGCTGCCACATGCTGTCCACGTCACATAAATCTGTACACCAATCGATTTGTTTTATTAGTCTCACTATTGGCTGAAGCAGACGCACCTCTAAAAAAATAACTGGTATGTTATACGTGTACATCAAGCCTCCGGCATTCTCTCTTTTTATTGGTTGGAGACTCATTTCTCACTTGCTTTGGCCAGATGCCAAAGAATGTTTTTCTTTTTTACCTATTCTTGGAGCAAATCGAGGGGGACTTTAGGTGTGTTCTTTGAGCAAGCATCTTAAGACAGTTAAAAATGCATAAATTTCATCATCAGACCTTACTCATGAAGCTTGTGAAGAAGGTAATCCAGAATAATAACTGGTTTAGGATTTTCAGTTATATACGTGCATAACAACTGCGTTATGTTTACACGCCTTCCATTTCGTTACTCTCATATGTGAAGGTTAAAATTCCTTTAGCACGTGTTTATTACCGTAGTGAAAATTTAGACAAGGAAATAAATATATATGAATCCTTATAGCTAAGTAAGAACTTCCTGTAATTTCAAGCAACAGTGGTGAAGGATCTAAAACGTTCTTAATATTGTTCAACATAAAGATTTACTTAACAGAATACACGTATGATATATTTCAAAGTCCCCAATGGCATAGCGGTATGTCTGCAGACTTCCAACACTAGAAACCGGGTTTCGATACCCGTGGTGTGCTTAACTACAAATAAATATATCTCAAATGAGTTATTTTTGCAACAGCATATCCTTCGAAGGATGTCATATCTAATTTGGTTGAAAAAACAAAAACAACAAACATACAGTAGATAGTCTTGTGACTGGTGGACGCAAGAAACATGGACCAATAAATGTGTTTTTCATGTTAAAAATCTGAAAATATGCAATATACCACATAACTACTCGTATTTTTTTATTTTTGCAATTGATCGATAAGTCTAGCCAAACTTTCAAATTTCAATTTTTCCAGGGTCTGACAGGCCACCTGGCGTTTGCCATTGTTGCAGCAGCTTTGGGATCAGCATTTCAACATGGCTACAATACAGGTGTTGTGAACGCTCCTAAGGATGTAAGTAACTAGCTCAATGATCTAAAAATAATGTCTACAACATTTGTTCATAATAAGAAGATTAGTTATATTTCTTTCCTTATCGACAAGTGATAAAAATAATTAAGACTATTTATCTGAAACATATTTTCTCTTTTCATTTAAATTACACGTGTGAATTTTAATTATTGCTTCATTTTTATTTTAGTTTTATAATGTGAGTACTAAATATATTTTCACAACAAGAATATTTAGATAGGAAAATAAATAACTGCATATCTTATTCTATTCGCGAAAATGTTTATTGTAATAGCATCAGTGTGGTAAAATTATAGAGGTGTTGCATACAGGTTGTAAAAGTAATTAAACTTTAATTGCAAACTTTTATGTATATTATAGAGTAGCTACTTTATTGTATCATTTCATTGTTGAAAACAGCTTCGAAACATGAAGACGAATGTATCACTGCTGTAATCTGCCTGATGTGGCAAGAACTTTGAAAGCCGCCCCCTAGTGGCTCAGCGGTAAATCTTCAAGCTCATGACGCTAAAAATACGGTTTCTATACCTGTGGGCAGAGTACACATATCCCATTGTGTAGCTTTATACTTCAAACAGCCAAACCATTCCAAAACTTCAAAGCCTTAGTCACTGCTGTAATCTGACGGAGATGGCAAGAGTTTACATTTTTTTTCACTTCTGAAAAATGTTCGTGGTGGCGAAGTCTCAATCATTTCTGTAAAGTGTCGCATACGAAAGATACTTTCTAAATCTTGTTTGTTTGTTCAACGCGGGAGCTTTATCTTAATGTTTCTTTCTAGAAGATCTCCGCTACTATACCTAAATACATAATCACTCACACACTTATATATATAACCGTATTAACACACACACACACATAACTTATATGCATAAGAAATAAACAACATTACATTCACCATAATCACAGAGTCCGTATCATAGAGGTCTTAGGGGGGACAGGCCCCCCGTTTGTTCCCCTTGTGCATGCCTCTATTTAGAAGAAAAGGTATTGCGGTACTTTTAACAACAATGCGACATGCCGTGCCAGTTTAAGTGTTAACATAAAAGAGGAATGCATTTTATATAATATACTTTATATATATCTTTTTTTTAATGTTTTTTCCGAGATAACAGAATATTAATCTAGAAAAATTAACAATATTGTTTGAAAAGCAAAGGGAATAGTGCGTTAAAGTAAAGAATCAAGATTGTTGCTAAGGTAATCAGTGTTTAATGACACAAGTCGTGTTATAAAAAATAAATACATTTTATTGGATCTCTCCCAGAAACTCGTTTCATTAAAATTGTGCCATGGCGATCAGGTCAGATATGTGTAACTTAGAACATAGTTTAAGCACAAGGCTAACAATGATTACCTTTAACTGGAACACATTTCTTAAAAAAACAAAACAGTCAAAGGTTGTAACATGTATCGATTTAAAAGAAGAAACAGTTAGCATGATTAATTGATCTAATTATATACTGTTTACAGAATGTTAAGAAATCGTGCAGAATAAAAGAGAATTAGATGAATTATGAAATAAAGATCCGATAACCTGAGTAATCCGGTAAGTTTTGAAAAAAAGGTGAACTAACACTATTCGTGTACCGCTTACAATGGACGTGCTGACTTATTACAATACACGATGTACATATACAGATATAATGTGGTACTATCTTAAATTTAAACATAGATAGATTTGTAGGCATTTTTAGTTGTGGAAAGACGAGAGGGTTGGGCGTAGCTACAAAACATACCCCCACCTCACATTACGAAATACATAATTGTATTTAGACAACTGTGCTGATTCAACTGTTTTAAGCAATTTTTAATGTAAAAAAATTGGAAACACTGATATACATCAGTGGGCGTGGCCTAGTGGTGGTAGCGCACTCGAACTGTAAATCCGAGAGTTCGTGATTCTCAGCTCGTTGGGCTGTGGATACGCCAAGAGAGAAACGGTTGAACCTCACTGTTCGTCCATGAGCTGCTAGTTTGTGCTATCAACTACCTGCTTTCCTTCTATTACTATCACTTCAAAATTACGGACGGCTAGTCGCGGGTAAACAAAACAAGAGGGAATCCTCATTAGCCGCGGTACTTGAAATTATTTTAGGAAGAAATAGAGTAAATTAATCTACGCGATCTTTTTTTTTTTTTCCTTTTTATTAGCTATATTTTTGTGCGCTAGCAATACCAAGCATGCCCCCTCCCTAGTGGCACAAGGGTATGTCTGCGGACTTACGTCGTTAGAAGTCGGGTTTTGATACCCGTGGTGGGCAGAGCACAGATAGCCAACCGTGTAGCTTTGTGCTTAATCACAAACAAAACCAATCGTGGGGCACTCGTATGCCCGATTCAATTTTATTACTCATCGAGATCTGTACCAGCCTACTCTCAAATAGAAATTGTTTTAGGCAGGATTAAAGTGAATTAATCTATGAGACCTTGGGCATGGTCAAATACATCAATCGAAAGGGTTTGACCTCCTGCTCTCAAAACTGTAATTAGATCTCAAATCGGTCAAGAGATGGCGGAGCTATGAGCTAAAAGTTTATACTTGAAAACAACAAACAAACAAACTCAGAGCTGTTCTATGAGCCGTTATGCCGCAGCTAAAAACAAGAAAGTCTTTTTGATATTAAGTCATATCCAAAAAGACAAATCTCCGGTACAGATTCCACATTGAAAAATTGTTGCTCAAAACAATTATAAAGTACTTATTCAAACTCAGAAATCTTTTGATGGATAAAGCTCATGGTTTTCAATTATTTGAAAAATTATTGATGAAGAAAATATTAATTAAACTTTGATTCGATCTTCTTGTTCTGCCGCCGATTCAAAAGGCATTATTTCCTATACAACAGGTAGTAGTATTCCACCATCTTAAAAATAGTCGTGGTTATTTTAACAATTAGAAGATAAACTACAAACACTTCAACAGAGTATCTTTTATCTAATTTTATTTGTTATTGGTTAACTAAAATATATTTTTTTGTATTTTCTAGCTTGTAATGGACTTCATTAAAATCGCATATATGGAACGTTTTGATGAAGAACCTGGACATCAAACGGTCACCATGATCTTCTCCATCATGGTATCCATCTTCTGCATAGGTGGGATGGTGGGGGCTTTAGGAACCGCATATGTTTCCGAAAAGTTTGGACGGAAAGGAGCGTTACTGCTGAACAATATTTTCGTTTTCATTGCCGCAGGACTAATGGGGTTCTCTAAAATGGCTCGATCATATGAAATGCTTATCATGGGCCGTTTTTTCATCGGTCTGAATTCAGGTTTGTAAAACATAAATATTATTAGGTTTAAATAAACACGTTCACAGGAGTGTGCAAATGATTTTGTAACTCTTTATATCGAATGTTTTCTTTCCTCTTCAATTTCCAACAAAGACGTTTTGTAGAGTGAAAAATGATCGTCATGTGACTAAAATTTGTTACTTCATAGACGTTACTTTCATTCAAAACCCGTAAACGAGCAGCACTTTGATAAACAGTTGCCTAGTGACCTGGCAAATAAAAGTATACAAACGCAAGTTAACACACCCGTTCAATTCAACGCACGGGGAAGGCATAGAGGCCTGCGAGTAATGATATATGGGGCCAGTTCTGAATACCGACCCCTTTGTCATTCCCAAGGGCGCTTTCGAAGTTTGTAAAAGTCAATAGAATAGTACAGGGAACGCATAGAAGCCCCCTGTATAATAACATAGACAGGCAAATTCGAACACTAACCCCCTACTTCACTCCCCGGGTGTGCTCTAAGGGTGCATGCTAAGTTTGGTTAAAAACTAGACGTGAAATGCGGACAAATAGACACCACTTTTGTCAAATATGTATGTGTGTCAGTAGCGTAACTACCGTGCAACAGAGATCACAATGCGGGGGAAGAGTTCAGGGGGCCCAACGAAGGCTAGACAATATTGTTTTGAAGGGCCTTTATAAATTTTGGGGGGAGTACTCTAAAATAGTAGTTACGCCACTGTGTGTGTGTGTTTATATATATATATATATGTATCAGTCTGAATTTTTAATATCATTAACTAATTTTAAAAAAAATTAATGGGATTTACAACATAATTAGTTGTTTCAAAAATAAGTGATCATTGTGATATATGTGTACGTGTTATTACAATCCTGGAATGCTAACCACATGCTCTTCTTGTCTAGGATTAAATGCAGGCTTAGCTCCCATGTATTTGACCGAAGTTTCACCTATTCATCTGCGAGGGGCAGTGGGAACCATTTACCAGTTAGTAATTACAATTAGTATCTTAATCTCCCAGATTCTGGCACTGCCACAAATCTTAGGAACAGAAGAACACTGGCCGTATATTTTTGGTAAGTTCGAAATTCATTTCACATAAAGAGAGGGCAGGAAAAAATTAGAAGATGTATTATTCTTCGATTTATTATATTCAGAAACGTGTACTTATGTTTGAGTTAAGAACGATTATTTTGCTGTATTACTAGTTTTCCTTTGTTTTCTTAGCTGTGTATACCTTAATAAGAAATACATTAAGAGCTAATGATTTTTTTTTTCAGCCATAATAGTGATCCCAGCAATTTTTATGTTGGTTACAATGCCATTGTGCCCAGAATCTCCTAGGTACATCTTAATCTTTCAAGGCAAAGAGGTAGCTGCCCAGAAAGGTGAGTTATTGATCAGGTTCATTATGTCAATAGCTCTGAATCATAACTATAGACAATACATTTATAACAGCAGTTAGTTCATAAAGAACTGCAGTTTTGTATAGTTTAGAAGTAGATTAAAACATTAAAAATTATGTATTATCAAAAAATTAATGTTTAGCAGGATCATGTTTTGTTTTTATGGTTTCTAGGTGCATCGCATTAATATATTTTATGTGAACATAATAGTTTGTTAAAAATCACAGTGTAAATTAATACTTATATGAGCATAACACTGTAGTACCATTGTAAACATATTATGTTTTGTCAGCTCTATACATGACTGATACATTTATAAGTCCCAAACGTTAGCAATCATGATGAAACTTTGTTGAACGGACAGCAACTGCCTGTTGTAGGAACACAAGTGTGAAGGACGACGTTTCGAAAGTCTTCCGTCTTTCGAAACGTCGTCCTCCACACTTGTGTTTCTATAACAGGCAGTTGCCATACATTCAACAAAGTTTCATCATGAATGCTCTACTTAAACAATCTATTAAAGAATTAACAATCATTTATTATGTTTTACTTAGCTCTGAGAGGTAAAAGTTATCAAATCTGTCTATCAGCTTTGATGAAGAACATCGTACAACAGATGTAAACATCATTATTTTTGAATAAAACACCTTCAGACAGTCTTTGTATGATGCAAAATCTTTTGTTCACTTTTTTAATGTCATATTGTATACATCATGTACACCATGCTAATATTACATTTCTGACCAATTCTCAAATCATACTTTGCTAGAGATTGTTGTAGCCTGTATTTATTTCATCTTATCAATACATTTTATGGATGACTGTGTATTATTTGTTTTTTAATACTATAAAAGCTGTGTATTCTCAGTAGCTTTAAAATGTATTGTAAACAGATATTATTTTTTTCTTTCCTATAAAAACTACCACAGGTACAAAAGTAAACTTAATTACTCATTCTAAAGTGTTTTGCTGGACAAATTTTTTGAATTAAATGGAAGATAAAGTAAAAAATCAACTTTTCTACAATAGAATATGCATCAATTTTTTTGGCTTATCAGTGTTTACTTACTTTGGTGGTGCTTTGCTGATCAACATAAAAAACATTAGTTTCATCTCTTTTCTTTTAGCTTTGACTTGGTTTAGAGGTACAATTGAAGTTCATGATGAAATGGATGAAATGCGATCAGAGTATGAAGCTATGAAAATGGTACCAAAGGTATGTTTCAGCATCCTGTTTTATTTATTTATTGAATTTTTTTTCCATTTAAGAATAGATATTGTTGAAATGGTGGTTTTAATATGAATTCAGTTGTTTTTTTTCACCTGAAGCATGACATACATAAATGTAATTTACCATTAGAACATATTTAGACAATTGTGCTGATTCAACTGTTTTAAGCAATTTTTAATGTAACAAAAATTGGAAACACTGATATACAACAGTCAGTCTAGTTTGTCATGCAACTTATAAGTTTTAACAGTACAGTTGTGTGAATAAGAAAAAACATTTAGAAAAGACATATCAATCATTACTCCAAAACTGGGCGAATAATCACCCTAAAGTTTAACAAAATTCATTGTAACTTCTAATGAGGCTTCAACATACTAGTGCTTTCCAGCAAAGAACAGCAAAATAAACAAGAGAGATTACAGCAGTTGTTGGAGGAAAAAAGAAATGAAACAAGAAGAACGAGAAAAGAAATAAGAAGAGAGGCTACAGCAGTGGTTGGGGGAGAAAAAAAATGAACAAGAAGAGAGACTACAGCAGTGGTTGGAGGAGAAAGAAAATAAATAAGAAGAAAGTATCCAACAATTGAGAGAAAGCCAGCATTCACTAATGGAAAAGCTTAGTAAATTTCAAAGTGAATTAAATACATTAAAGGACGATTTACTGTCTTTTACAAAGGGAGGATATATTAACCATGAACCTAATCAGCCCCAGACAACAGGAAGTCCCTTCCAGACCCTGCAGCTAAACTCTGATGCAGACATCTTCAGTCCTGCCAGAAGTCACATTCCAGACATGAGTGTCAGAAATAGGGGTGATCTAGTACGAAGGAAGCCACAGGAATTCGATGGGAAGGCACCATGGGAAGCATATAGAGCACAATTTAAGTTCCTGGCAGAAATGAATGGGTGGACAGAGGAGCAGAAATTAGTGTACCTTGCAACGAGCCTGAAGGGACAACGACTGGAAATGCTTGGACAGTTGTCAGCAGACGACAGGCACAACTATAGAGCACTGGTAACTGCTCTAGAACTCAGGTAGGGAACTCAAAATCAGTCCGAAGTCTACATGGCTAGGTTTAGGACAAG